CCATAGTTTTGTCTTTTCCCAAATGTCACATTTGGAATATCTTTTTTGATTTTTAAGACATTTTTCCTTCTCATCTTTGATTTCTCTTAAAACATCGCTCACTATGTTTATTTGCTCTTGTGTTCCTTTTAATTCAGTCTTTATTTTGAAATTATTTTTGTTCTTTTATTTCCAGTACTTTCCTGAGTTCTCTTACAGCTCTTGTCAAATCTTCCTTTTCCTCAATCGCCTCATCCTTGATTCTGGCTTATGCTGTTTTTTTGTTTTTGTTTTTGTTTTTTTTTAAGGATCTATCTTCTCTTAATTTCTTTTGGCTGGTTTTGAAATGATGGGTCAGTTTACTTCCGCTCTGTGGGCATGTCTTTCTGGTGGGTTTCATTATCTGCAGAGATGTTATACTCCCTCTGATTCTTCCTCGCTCTCTGTTTAAAGACTTTGCACGAAATTTGAGGGTGCATCTTTTCTGTTGTTCATCTTTTAAGTGAGTTGAATGTGCTTATACTTTAGAGAGAAGAGATGGAACATGATTTACCTTTTTCCTAACTTCATAGTTCTCTAATTCTCTCTTCGGCTGTTTTCTCAGTGATAAAAATATATATGGACTAGTGCTACCTCCTCTGCTTCTCTACTTTCTTTAATCGAAACTTTCTTTTTCCTTTGTCACTACCTTTTCTGTCCTGTGATCAATTTGGAATTTACTCCAAATTGTCTCTCAGTGAGAGATTTTGTCTTAGAATGAAGCTTCTTTCATACTAGAAGAAAACACAGGGTAAATCCTCCATGACACTGATTTGGGAAATTATTTTTAAAGATGTGAACCCAAAAACACAGACCACAAAAGCAAAAATAGACAAATAGGATTACATTAAACTAAAAAGCTTCTGCATGGCCAAGGAAACAATCAACAGAGTGAAGAGACAACCTACAGAATGGGATAAAATATTTGCAAACCATATATTGATAAGGGTTAATATCTAAAATATATGAGGAACTCAAACAACTCAATAGCAAGCAAACAACCCAATGTAAAAGTGGGCAAAGGATCTGAATAGATGTTTCTCAAATAAAGAAGGAAGCTTTATTCTGTGAACATCTAGAGTGTGTAGCACCCAGACTGTCCCTGCACATCAGTCTTGTAGCATCATTGTCAATTTGCTGCCACCCACAAATTGATTCCTGCAGAATCTCCCTTAATTCCACCTGTTCTCAGACAGGCTCTCCATGCTTTTTGGTGAGCACCTGTTGGTGATTTGGGTGTTTTCATATCCTCGGGGATGTCAGATGTTGTCTGTGGATCTTTAGATTTACTATCTTATTTGCTGTGTTTTTATGTGAAGACTTAGCCCAAAAAATGACACTGCCACCACCACCATTTTTCCGGAATCGCAAAAATCTTAATGAAGTTGCTACCATAAGAATAATACATATTCTTTCACTGTTACATTGCCTTCCTCTCTCTGATCTTCCTGCCTCCCACTTATCAGAATCCTCATGATTATATCAGGCCCTGTTGGAAAATCCAGGATAACTTTCCCACCTTAACATCCTTACTGTAACCCCACCCACACGATCAGTTGATACTGACATTATGTTCCCCCAAGGCAATGTAGAGGCTGCCGGATCCTTGGTTCCAGTTCTGAGTGCAAGATCCGCAGACGAGGCTTTGCATCCTGGGGTGGAACGTATCGAATAATCTACATATGTTATCTGGAATTCTTCTGTAAAAAACACGTGTCCTTTCTCCCTCATTTATTTATTTATTCAATCGTTTATTTGTGGCATAGACTCATATACTTTTATACTTTGGGATATAGTCTAATACTAAATTTTTAAGTTTTGTTTTTCAGATGGCTTCAGTTTTGGCCATTGGGAACTCTTTCAGGTTGGTTGCTATGTCCCTTTGATTTACCTCCATCATTGTTTGTGTGTGTGTGTGTGTGTGTGTGTGTGTGTGTGTAGAAAGCCCTATTGCCACTTATCCCCCAACATTGTGTTTTTTGAGTACTTTCTGGCACTACAAGATACTCCAGGCTCATGGTATGTTTTCCCTGCCTCAGCCCTAGAATCAGCCCTGGTTCCTTTCATTGGAGAAAGATATTTGGAAACCAAGATCTGGGTGCTTGGTGTGCTCTCTGTAATAGGTATCACTGCCAAGGCTTCTTGGTACACAGAGTTAGAAATATATCTATGTATACCAACATATATACACATATATACATACACACACACACACACCCCCCCCACAATCATTTCTGCATCTGTCTACCTGGATATAGAAGTAAACATGAGTTCGTTTTAATGTCTGATTCCAATCCAGTACCACAGGGTTCATTCTGATCTTGTGTGGCCTTATTTGTAACTTCTTTTTCTGACTACAATAAATCTGGCTTCCATTTTTTAAAGCATTTATTTATTTATTCAGTCATTCATGCATTCATCCATAGTATAATGTAATTCTGAATTAGTAACCCATATCCCCATGTGACACAAATTTACAACTAGAGTACAGTATTCACGTCACATCTTTTCGTCTTTAGCCTTAGTTTCTACTCAAAGCACCATTTTTAACATTACTTAGGTCATCATTTTACCCTATGTCCTTCAGTAAAGTTATGTCATATATTTCTAATATAGTTAGATTCACTTGTCACAATCTGCTTTCCATCCTTGTGTTGTTCACATTCGGGTTGATATTTTAAAATTCCACACATTACAGTTGATTTTTTGTGGTGTACCGTTCTATGAGAGTGGACAACGCACAGTCATATACCCACCACCGCACACCATGCAAAACAGTTTCCATCACAACTAAAAATTCCCCACTGTGATCTTTGCAATCAGCCTCTACACCTCCCGACAACCCTTGGCAACCGCTGAGCTGTTTTCCATCATTATTGTTTGCCTTTTCCAGAATGTCATACAAATGGTATCTTTTTCCCTTTATCAATTGCTCATTCATTTTCATTCCTGAGTAGGATTTGATTATATGGTGATTGTATAGGTATACCACTGTTTTACTTTTTTCTTTATTTCTTTTCTTTTTTTTAGAGACAGGGTCTTGCTATGTTGCCTAGGCTGTCCTCAAACGCTTGGACTCAAATGATTCTCCCTTCTCAGCCTCCTTAGTAGCTGGGATTATAGGCACACACCACCTCACCTGGCTGTTTATCTATCGATTCACCTATTGAATGATATTATTACTACTTCCAGATTTCTGTTAATAATGATTAAAGCTGCTGCCAACATTTATAGACATGTTTTTATGTGCATATAAGTTTCAAATTCTTTTAGGTAAATACCTAGGAGTGTGATTGCTGGATCATACGCTAAAGCGTATGCCTAACTCTATAAAAACTACCAAATTGTCTTCCGAAGCGGCTACACCATACTCCATGCCCACCAGCAATGAATGAGAGTTCTTGTTGATTTGTGTCCTTAATAGCACTTGGTATTGTCACTTTCTTGGAATGTGTGCCCTCTCCCACATCAGCACCTATTCTTTCTACGGAAGCCATTGCCCTAGAAACATACTCTGCGACTGAAACTTCCCTTATGGCAAGAGCTGAAGCAAGAGTCATTCCTATTTTTAAATCCAGGTCTTTATTTTGCCTGTGCAAATATGAATGCAGGCATAACTAATAGTTAAGGCTTTTAAAATATATACATTTTGAGGAGGAAAAGAGGAGAGAGAAAGAGGAAGAAAGAAGTAAGAAGAAAGAAAAAAGGAAAGAAAGAAGACTCATCTTTGGGTAATTTGCAACATGTTACATAAGGATGGAATACTGAGGTCATAATTTGCAATCACAGACCTCAAAAATATAAATCTGTTATAAAATGTTAATGATAATTATATTTACTGGGGTTTGTTTTTTTAAAAAAAGCTAATTTCTGCAATCTGCGAGCTTTCGGTGAGCCAAAAGCTTTGCCCCGGGATGCAATTCCAAGGGATCTTGAGGCTTCCTCTTCGTGGGTGAAGGGGCAGTTTGCAAAGATACATGCCTAATGGTCTCATCTTCTAAAACTCTTAGTTGTCGGCTTTTTTGGTTTAGGACACCACTCCAGCCTTCAATCTAAAAGGCTCTCCCTGTACGTTGCTCTCCTCCTTGAGTTAGAATAGGTCACCCAGGGCCTTGACTCAAGAATGGAGGATAGGCGCTGTCTTTGAATCTCTTTGGCAAGTGAGAAGGAGGGGATGTCTCTTCTCCTGAGATGCTCTTTTCTGTAAAACAGACGCTGGTTTCACCGTGGCTGGATGGCAAGGGGTCTGGATTTGCTTCACAGATTGGAAGTGACCTCAAATCGGGCAGCCTCTTTCCATCCTACAGAACTTCTACTTGCCATAGCACTCCCAAAGGCCAGGGTTTCCAGGGCCCCAAAGAGCACACGAGGTGATGCCAGATTCAGAAATATGCCTCAAACTGTCTTGTGTAAGTCTGAATTTGAGTCACTACGTTGTACCTTCAGCTTTCTGTTATATACCCATTATCAGGTGGTGGTGGAGTGAAGTTGGGGAGGAGAAAGGTGACTAAATAATCTTTCATTTATAAGAAAATTAGATTAAAAAGCCTAAAAACGCCTTGCAGATTCCATAAAAAAGTAGTGAGAGTCCTGTGTGCACACTTCCATATACTGGGACCGGGGATACTTTGCGCTTTGCAAAGCCCTGCCTGGTGCAGTGTTTCATGCGGACCTCACAGTCAAACCTGGCACTTCACTGGGACTGAGACAAATGTCCCGTTTTCTAGGTGAAGAAACAGGCTCTCTCGGGCAGTCACACAGCTTTTAAAGGGTGAATAGAGCTGGAATTAAACCCTGACCAAGTTCCATGCCACACAGCTGCGGCCACATAGCGTCACCCTGACAGTTGACCCCGTGAAGCAGGAGACAGAGGCTGCATTTTCACTGTTGTTTGTCCTCTGTTTTTGTAGCATCCCCGGGAACTTCCCCATCAGCCAGGGGGTTGTCCCCACCACCCTTCACCTGGCTCTCCAGTTGGCTGAGACGCTGCTTCATCTTCATCTGGGTGGCGTTGTACTCAGCCAGGAGGCGTGCAAACCTGGTCTGCAGGGTGTCCAGGGAGGACCCCAGCTGCTCCACCTTCTCCTCAAGGTCCTTGGGGTCCGCCCCCGCCCTGGCCAGCTCCTCATCAATCAGGTTGTCCTTCATCAGAATCTGCCGTCCTTTCTCCTCCAGAGCCTTCTTGGCTTCGGGGTACTCGGTGAGGGCCTCCATGAGATCGTCCTTGGAGAGGCAAAACAGGTCTGAGTAGCCGATGCTGCGGATGTTGGCCGTCCTGCGGTTCCCCGATTTGCTCCCCTTGATGTTCAGGATGCTGATCTCCCCGAAGTAGCTGCCATCGCTGAGGACCACGAACTGGGTGACCCCATCATCAGCCACCACGGCCAGCTTGCCCTCATTGATGATGTACATCTCCTTCCCAATATCTCCTTTCTTGCAGATATAATCCCCAGGGCTGAACACAGTGGGCCGCAGCTTTAGCACCAGCTCCACCAGCAGCCCCGCTTCACAGTCCTGGAAGATGCGAACCTTCTTCAGCGTGTCCAGGTGCACGTTGATGGCGATCTCGGCCTTCAGCTTGTCTGGGAGGCTCTTGAGCACCTCCTTCTCATCCACCGTCTTCTTGTTGGCCCACAGGTAGTCAAACCACCGGATAACTCGTGTCTCCAAGTCCTTGGTCACCTTGCGGAACTGCATGTACTGCTTGATGGAGTCGATCTTGGCCTGGAACTCTGCCCGCGAGGCGTTCATATTCGAGATCATGGAGCCCACATTGCCCACAATGGTGGCAAAAATCAGAACACCCACCAAGAAGTCTATGACCACAAAGAGATACTCCTCGTCTTTCACAGGGGGTGGGGTCTCACCGATGGTGGTAAGGGTCAAGGTGGACCAGTAGAGGCTGTAAATGTACTTCCTGGAGAGGCGCCCATGCTCTGGGATTGAGATGTTTGGGTAGACCCAGGAGTCTGTCCCAAAACCAATGAACTTGGAAATAGCAAAGTAGATGCAGGCATTCCAGTGGATGATGACGAGAATGTACAAGACCAAGTTCCCAATCCTGAATATATTGGGGTAGTTGGTCCTCGTCTCTGTGCGGTCAAAGAATTCAAAGAGCCGGGAAAACTTCAGTAGGCGGTTGAACCTCAGTTCTGGGTAGTTCATGCCCACCTTTAAGTAAGCCAGGTCGGTGGGGACCAGGGATAACACATCCAGCTTGAATTGCTTGGTCGTCTTGTAATGCTGCCACAGCCTGTTGGTATCACTGACCATTAAGCCTTGCTCAAGAAAACCTAAAGAAGAAGATGGAGGTCACTTGGGCATCACAGAGGCTGACTTTTTTTGACCACAGTACAAAGAAACATCTTTTACCTCATGGCTACAGAATAGGCAGTGATACATATATAATAGAAATTATTTCAAAACCAACACTTACCATGACTATAGGAAATGCACTCTGATATTTTCTATTCTATGAGGTTCTATCTCTTCTATTGAATTTTTTTAAAACATAGGTCGATTGAGTAAATTTAAGTATAAATGAGGTATTAGATGATAACAAGGAATGATTATTAAATTTTAAAAGATAAATGGAAATTATATACATATTTTAAAAAAGGATCCTTTAAAATTAGAGATACATGTTGTAAATCAAAAACTGATGGTGGGCCAGGTGCTGTGGCTCATGCCTATAATCCCAGTACTTTGAGAGGCTGAGGAGGGCGGATCACCTGAGGTCAGAGGTTCGAGACCAGCCTGGGCAACATGGTGAAACCCTGTCTCTACTAAAAATACAAAAATTAGCCAGATGTGGTGGTGCACCCCTGTAATCCCAGCTACTCGGGAAGCTGAGGCATGAGAACCACTTGAACCCAGGAGGCAGAGGGTGCAGTGAGCCAAGATCACACTACTGCACTCCAGCCTGGGCAACAGAGTGAGACTCTGAGTCTTAAAAAAAAAAAAAAGAAAAGTGATGGAGGCGATCTCAATTGATTTAGAGGTTTATTTTACCAAGGTTGAAAGTACACCTAGGAGAAAGAAACACAAGTCACAGTAGGATCTGTGGCCTGTGCTTTTTCCAAAGACGATTTTGAGGATGTCAATACTTAAAGCGGACAGAGCAGGCAGCAGGCAGGACAGGAAAGAAGAAAGAAAAGGAAGGGTGGGTAGGCAATGAGGCCAGTAGTTACATTCTTGTGAGGCTTTGATTAGCACTCAGTGAATCTACATGTGAAAAGAGGGGAGAGGAGGAAAAGTACATTATGCAAACTACAGCTATCTGTTTGGGAAGAAAAGGAAGGCAGCTTTTGCATGACTCAGTTCCTAAGCGTAACTCTTCCCTTTGGCACAGTGAGTTTGACTTCCCGAGATATTCTATTTTCTATTCAAAACGCTAAAGTGCTTACTGCCTGGGGTTTGCTTACACCAGCCAAGAAAAGGGTAGATGAAACAAAAAAGCAAAAACAAAAACAGGAAAATGAAACAAGAAAAGGGTGGATGAAACAAAAAAGCAAAAGCAAAAACAGGAAAGTGAAACAAGAAAAGGGTGGATGAAACAAAAAAGCAAAAACAAAAACAGGAAAATGAAACAAGAAAAGGGTGGATGAAACAAGAAAAGGAGCAGATGAAACAAGATGGGCAGAATGTTGATAACAGCTGGAGCTGGGTGAGGGTACATGGGGATTCATAACACTATTCTCTCTGCTTTTGCATACATTTGAAAATATTAATAATAAAAATTAAGAAAACACCGGCCATGGCCTCCCAAACTGATTTCACCAGTCAGCAATGGGGCACAACCTGCCTTTTGAAAACACCTCGCAGGAACACAGCTGTCCTTGGTTGCACGTGACTGTTACCCAAGGGGCTTTAAAAACGTATGAGGTTCGGGACCCACCCCCAAAGAATCTGACTGGTCTGGAGATGGGGTGGACACCTAGAGCCAGGGGCATTATAATGGGTGAAATCAATTAAGGAGGCCATGACCCACATTCTTTTTTGTTTTTTACATTTTCAAACATGCACAAAAGTAGAGAGAATGATAGAATTAGTCCTTTTAAAGTTGTGGTGAGCATCAGTATTTCCCCGAGGGCTGTGTGAAACGCAGAGTGCCAGCCTGCAACCCAGAGTTGGCTCCTGGAAGTTGGGGGCAAGTCCAGCAAGTTCCAGGTGATGCTAGGGCTGCGGGTCCAGGCCACTGAGGCTAGACTGGGGTAGGACGTCCCACACTGCTCAAACTGAAAATCTAGTGTGCCGTCACAACGAAGAACACCCTGCCTCCCAGCCCCCAGTTCTTCTTAGCATTATTTGTTATACATGAGTTACTGAGGGCCTCGATCATTATGTAGCCTCCTGTGCCTCCAGCCTCCTCCCCACTTCTTTAAGATGTCTTCTCACAACTCTAATGATGTTTTCCTTGGGGTGTGATTCCTGTGCCTCCCTCTCTCCCAGCTTCCTGCTGAATCTTGAGTTGCTTAGGATACTACCCAAGCACAAGAAGGCATATGGTTAATGTCTGAGTCTGGGTGTCTCATCCCACTGAAGCTGGGCTGAGACCAGGGAACATCAGCCCAATGGGCCACTTACAGACCTCGTGTGTCTATGGAGTTTAACATGACTGCAGTAGGGAAGCAGATGGCCAGGGCTGGCTAAGTCACCCATGCAAGCCTCAGCCTGTGTATCTGAGGTCTTCTAAGTTATGATGCTAGGCACCAGTGTGGAAGCAAACGGTGGACCAGTCTGGCATGGCTGGGCAGTGACTGTGGACTTTGGACAAGTCACTTGGTGTCTCTGACATTGGTTTCTAAATCAGCAAGATGGGAGGTGATCATGCCTGTGCTTCTTGTCTCATGCAGTGGTTCTAATGAAGATGCCAGACGTGCTTGAAATATTTTGTACATGGAGCCACACAGAGGTTGGCTACTGTGATCTGCTGGTCTTTGCATCAACAGCTATGGCATAGCATTATTTTATTTTATTTTATTTTATTTTATTTTTTGAGACAAGGTCTTGCTCTGTAACCCGAGGCCATGACTCCCTTTAGTCTTGACCTCCTGGACTCAAGCAATCCTCTCACCTCAGCCTCCTGAGGCACACACCAGCATGCCCAGCTAATTTTTTCTTTTTGTAGAGACAAGGTCTTGCTATGTTGCCCTGGCTAGTCTGGAACTCCTGGCCTCAAATGACCCTTCTGTCTTGGCCTCTCAAAGTGCTGGGATTACAGGTGCCTGCACCCATGCCTGGCCTGGCACAGTTTTTAGTTCAAAAATCTTGGAAACAGGGCCTCTACCAGCTTAGGCAATGTCTTTGTGCAGATTAGAAAAAGATGTCCCAAGCACACACAGTTCAGCACCTAAGAAATGTGAGAGGTGAGTATCCTTTCCCATCCCCAACCAGAGATGATTTGAAGGAAGTCCTCATTCACCTGGGCCCTATTTCAGATTTTCATTCTCCACATGTTAAAACTCCTCTGAAAGCCACGGAGTAACATGTCCTGGATCCTCTGACTGTCTGAGAAGAGAAACTCCAAGATTGTCTGAGCTCTCCTTTCTGCTCACCCCAGTGTCAAGTAGTGAGAGCTGGAGGGGTCCTTCCAGATTGCAGTTCGGCCTGCTTATTTCTTTTTTTTTTTTTTTTTGGACAGAGTGTTGCTGTGTCGGCCAGGTTGGAGTGCAGTGGCATGATTTCCACTCACTGCAACCTCTACCTCCCGGAGTTCAAGCGATTCTCCTGCCTCAGCCTCTCAAGTAGCTGGGATTACAGGCACATGCCAGCAGGCCCAACTAATTTTTGTATTTTTAGTAGAGATGCGGTTTCACCATGTTGGCCAGGCTGGTCTTGAACTCCTGACCTCCAGTGATCTGCCCACCTTGGCCTCCCAAAGTCCTGAGATTACAGACGTGAGCCACTGCGCTTGGCCCCGCCTGCTTATTTCAGAGGTGACAAAAAGAAGGCCCAGAGACAGCCTGACTCGCTCAAGGTTACACAGCTTGTCGGAAGGGCAGAGCCCAGAGCTTAGGTGTCCTGGCCCCTGCTCAGTGTCCTGTCCAAGGGTTCTGTGTAGAGGGGCTTGAGGCCGCACCACCTACCCTCACAGTCGTAGGTCCCCAGACCTGCCTGGCTTCTCATGGTCAAAGGTAGGCAATGTCCCATCCACTGTGCTGGGTCTCCCGGAACACTCCTGTGGGTGCCACGGTCCCCTCCCCAGGCCTGGGGCACACTCACCTGTCCGAGCTCGCACAAGCACATCCAAGGCATACAGGACATCTGCTGAGTAGTCCAGGAGCAGCCACAGCATCAAGTACTCGGACTGCAGCTCATCGAAGCAGGCCCTAAAGACGCCAAATGGGAGACGGATGGCTGTGCGTGTTTCTGGAGCATGGGCCACCCGTGTGTGGGCACCGGCTCTGTGCTGAAGACGCTGGATCATGTCATCTGGGAATGGCCCTGCCTGCGGTGTCACTACCTCAGCATAATCACCCCAGCTTCCGATGAGGCACCACTGTCTCTGAGAAGCTTTTCTGTCCCACAGTCACAGAACTCCTGAGAAGAGCCAGGACTGACCCCAAAGAGCGGCCCCATTGCGTCTCAGCAGAGAGCTACAAGATCCCAGGAGGTACTGTTTTCCAGGCCTCACTGGCAGAGTCAGGTAAAGGGGCTAAGGACCTGCCCTTTCTGGGGTCAAATTTCAACGAAAAATAAGAGAATTTCTGAGAGATTAACAATGGAACAGGCAGTAAATATTTTCTACCTTCTCCATTTTTCTGCTGTTTCCCACACAGGCAGCACCCCCAGCTCTTCTCCTAGCCTCACGGGCACAGCAGCCTGCCCCTGCCGCCCCTCTGCAGCTTGCTCAGCACCCCAAAGCCTCCTGCCATATATATATGCCAGGCGTGGTGGCTCATGTATGCAGTCACAGCTACTCGGGAGGCTGATGCAGGAGAATCGCTTTAACCCGGGAGGTGGAGGTTGCAGTTAGCTGAGATTGCGCCACTGAACTCCAGCCTGGGTGACAGAGTAAGACTCTGTCTCAAAAACAAAACTAAACAAACAGAAACAAGTTGATTTAGAGGTTTATTTTGCCACGGTTGAGGACACACCCAGGAAAAAGAGACACAAGCAACAGTAGGATCTGTGGCCTGTGCTTTTTCCAAAGACGATTTTGAGGATGTCAATACTTAAAGCGGACAGAGCAGGCAGCAGGCAGGACAGGAAAGAAGAAAGAAAAGGAAGGGTGGGTAGGCAATGAGGCCAGTAGTTACATTCTTGTGAGGCTTTGATTAGCACTCAGTGAATCTACATGTGAAAAGAGGGGAGAGGAGGAAAAGTACATTATGCAAACTACAGCTATCTGTTTGGGAAGAAAAGGAAGGCAGCTTTTGCATGACTCAGTTCCTAAGCGTAACTCTTCCCTTTGGCACAGTGAGTTTGACTTCCCGAGATATTCTATTTTCTATTCAAAACGCTAAAGTGCTTACTGCCTGGGGTTTGCTTACACCAGCCAAGAAAAGGGTAGATGAAACAAAAAAGCAAAAACAAAAACAGGAAAATGAAACAAGAAAAGGGTGGATGAAACAAAAAAGCAAAAGCAAAAACAGGAAAGTGAAACAAGAAAAGGGTGGATGAAACAAAAAAGCAAAAACAAAAACAGGAAAATGAAACAAGAAAAGGGTGGATGAAACAAGAAAAGGAGCAGATGAAACAAGATGGGCAGAATGTTGATAACAGCTGGAGCTGGGTGAGGGTACATGGGGATTCATAACACTATTCTCTCTGCTTTTGCATACATTTGAAAATATTAATAATAAAAATTAAGAAAACACCGGCCATGGCCTCCCAAACTGATTTCACCAGTCAGCAATGGGGCACAACCTGCCTTTTGAAAACACCTCGCAGGAACACAGCTGTCCTTGGTTGCACGTGACTGTTACCCAAGGGGCTTTAAAAACGTATGAGGTTCGGGACCCACCCCCAAAGAATCTGACTGGTCTGGAGATGGGGTGGACACCTAGAGCCAGGGGCATTATAATGGGTGAAATCAATTAAGGAGGCCATGACCCACATTCTTTTTTGTTTTTTACATTTTCAAACATGCACAAAAGTAGAGAGAATGATAGAATTAGTCCTTTTAAAGTTGTGGTGAGCATCAGTATTTCCCCGAGGGCTGTGTGAAACGCAGAGTGCCAGCCTGCAACCCAGAGTTGGCTCCTGGAAGTTGGGGGCAAGTCCAGCAAGTTCCAGGTGATGCTAGGGCTGCGGGTCCAGGCCACTGAGGCTAGACTGGGGTAGGAC